ATGCTCGAAAGCAGTAAGATTGTTCTTTGTATACTGAAGGTTTGAACCGCCCCTGTAGAGCGACTATTTGGTCGTATACTGAAGACTTGTTGCTAATCAAGTAGAAATATCGTAAAAGGATTGAATTAGTGATATACTGCATGATTTTCGTGTTGAGAGTGTCATATTTGTTATATACCTTGGTAAGTATCTTTAATTCTTCAGTATACCTATTCTAGCGTTCTTTGAAGATATCTCTGGTTTTACCTGTTTCCTGTCTAGGAAATTCAGGCTCTAGCCTCTTAGGGATCTTGCTGCAAGTTAAATTATCGCTATTAGATTTGAAATAATCCCACTGATTACCTGTAGAGATACAGATCCGATCGATCTAGTGTTTCTAATTGTTTCGATCGAGACATTCGAAGCGGTAGAACTCATGTTATACAGCTTCAATTCTTCTGCTTTAGACAATCGAAATGGTTGTAAAGGGGTTAGTAAAGAGATCAAATGAATGAAGGTAAACGTTTCCAATACCAAGGGTCTCCGGGCTCATAATTATTGGACTATGAAAGTTTCGTATTGCATAGTAATTTGTATGCAGAATCGAGGCTCAATGAAGGTCTGATCCTCTTGGTTTAGAGGATCGAAACGAAGCTATTTAACATGCAATATGACTACGTGGCTTCTTTGAAATCGGCTTATCTTGAAGCCATAAAATGCCGTCAGAGTTGATCTAGGCGGCAAGCGGTAAGGTGTTGAATCCTGGTGGTAAAATTGCCCCATATTCGCTGACATTACAATTATACCGAAAGGAATGACAACCTAGGTCTATGTGCCATCCAAGACATATTGGAATTTGTCTTTCGCGATAGTGCATTTGCTAATGAATACATCAAACAGCCGAAGGATATCTGGCGTTACACCGATGTACTGGACCACCGACTCAGCACTCCTATTCATTTCAAAGAGGAAGTCCAAGAGATTCCGGTATTCCGCCGCGCAGTAAAGGATGAGGAAGGAATGTGGATTAGGTACTCATCCCACACGCGCCTTACCCTACAAAAAGACGAAGGAAGACGAAGTTGCGACGAGCAGGTCAGACGGGTCCAAGGAACCTGGTTCTCTATATAAGTATCGCAAAGGGGCTGCTGCCAAACTTAGTAAGTCATCATAGAAGACAAACCATGCAGGTATTAATGTCTGTGAAGGGCACTTAGATGAGCACCCCAGAAATATTATCATGGGCCATAGCCGGAGTCACACATTTGCATACTACGTTCAGGTCCAGGACGATACTTAATCCGCCTTTATGGGTACCCCTACCCGAGACGCTTTGATCAAGCTGGCAACAAATTCAAGTTTGACCCGAGACGCATCTGTGCCGCAAAACTTAAGCGATGAAAAGAAACACGAGATCGAGCAACTCACCGAGCTCAGTGATCTAAAGCGCAATCGTGATCAACTCCGGCGCGACCTGATCGCACAATATCATCAGCTGCACAAGGCTCGAGGGACCGCTCTATACTCTGAATTTGAAAGGGCCCAGAAACAAGTGAGAGCGAAAAGGAAGAAGCTGCATAAAGTCGCTAAAGATGAGCAGCATGACGATTTCTTTAAGCATGTCGGAAACCACATTGTCGAGGGAAATTACCAGGGAAAGCCTCTCACCTTTGAGCCCGACATATCTCATGTGGTTCCGGAGAGAAAGGCTCTTGCTGACCTTGAATTCAAGAATCGGGATGTGGATAAGATCAGTGACGCTGAGCTACTTGAGGATCGTATTCGATCTCTTGAGATGCGACTGGCTCTCTATCACCTGGAGGTACCAAAAACACTGCAGAAACGCATCAATTTTCGTGAACCTCCACCTGAGATAATCAGCTGTCCCGAATTATCGGATAGCCTTCCACTTGAGAGCAAAAGTGGACTTGAGTGCCCGGTATGCCTTGGCCGTCCTAGTATGCATTCGCGCGCGAGACGATACACCTACGCCCGTAAAGATACGTTACAGAGGCACTTCAATACGCACAACTTGAAACAGAAGTTTCCAAAAGGGTGTACATGTGATTATCCTGGATGCGAGGAGGTCTTCTACACCCTCTCCAAGTATAAGTTTCATTTAGACATGGTGCACAAGATTTCTCTATAGGATCATATTTCTATCGAATATATTAATTGTTATACTCTCATACCTCCCTGATCGGCTCTGACATAGTCAAGTGCATTAAATCCCACAGGATCCACCCCTTGGCGCTCAACTTCAGTCTGTCTCAATTCACGACCAAAACGACGCCGAAAATGGCCTCCTTCGCGGCCAAATCCAGCTACCCTTCAAATTCGACCGGCCAGGCCAGGAGAAAAAGTACTAGTTAGCTGAGAGCTCTAGTTCATCTCGCCAGTCTCCGGCAGGTTTCTTTTGTTCTTGCTAATGTATCCCTCGGCTGACTGCGGTTCAACTATTCTTGTATAAAGGATCACCCCTTCCACGTTAGCTCGATTACCTCAAACCGCTCATCCGCAGCCCTAATCAAACCTGATATACCAGGAATCCTGCGCCGTAGGCATAATAGAATAGACAACCTCGCTCTAGCAACCTGCCACCCCTCCACCGGCGGACCCAGCACAAAACTAAACTCTTTCAAATGCGGCGAAGCCTTCCATCTTGCAAAAAGATGCCCATTCTCCACCAAGATCCGCCGTAGCATCTTTCCCCTCTCCTCTGCATCAGGCCACACCCCCTCCCATATCCTCACATATGGCTCCATGACCCCCAAGGCCTCCCTCAGCCACAATCCGGCCCTTTCCTCCTTAATCCGACCACTCTGCACCATCCCCGTCTCCAGCTCCTGAAGAAGATCTTCCCTTTCCAGCCCTGTTTTCACTGCAGCCCGCATCACCCCAAGTAATATATGTGACCGCACTGCAAGGTCCAACTTATCTAGTTCCACACCTACTGTTTCCTCTACTGCAACAGCAGCCAAAAACTCTATCTTTTCATCACTGCCAAGCTCCCCATCCCATCCACTCCACCACGCAAACGCCCCAATCCCGCTATCTGGCCACCCACACCACATCACCTCGCTCTTCCACATACCATCCTTCACATCCGGCTCAACAACCCCATTCTGTTCCCAGCTTGCCTCTCACAGCTGCACCGAGTACTTCCCTTCCCACTCATACACATCATATGACCCCTGCGCCACGAGTATCCCGAAGCAGTTCTCATTCCACCTTGTTGGGGACGGCGCCTCGGATCTGGTCCGTGCGCCAAAGTAACGGGCCCCCATATACTCCAGCCAGAAGCGCGCTTGCGTCTCTGAGTAGGGCCGCACGCTCGGGTGCGCCTTACGTAGGCGGTTAATGGTTGCTTCGAGCGTGCTGAGGGCTATATCGGTAAGAGTCACGAGTGGAAGTAGGGGTTGTCTAAGGTATGTACATGCGACATTATAGGCCCAGCGGGGGAGTTTCGTGGCATGTGGGCCACCGCCGACGTGAGATTGCTTGCGAATCGGCAGGTCCAGCGGGTTGTCTGAGTCCGGTAGATCTTGGAGGTCAGGAAGGCGGTAGAAGCGGGCTGTGATGTTCTGTTTTAAGAATGGCTCCGAATAATAGGCGCGCCAGGCGGAGGGATGCAGGAGCGCGTGGTGCTCAGTGTAGAAAGTATCAAATCCATCAACGGAGGGGAAGATGCCTTCGATTTGGTCGGAGGAGCGGTAGATGCCTGCTGCGATCTGGGCTAGATAGAATAGATCCAGGGTGCTGTGTTTGTGATGGTTAGTATAGTAGTTTTTAGGTGGGAATGGATGGTAGCTAACTAACCGATTGAACCTCAACTCGCCCTCGCCGAATGACCATCTGTGCGCGTGCAGTTTCTCGATAACATCAAATACACCCATACCAGTCCACAGCACCTCATCCATATGAATAAATGCTATCCGTAGCACTTGATCATGGCTATTGACAGGCACCACGCCGGTTTCGACGTCGGTGAGGAATTTCTGAGCGCTCATGGCAAGCCTCCAAAAGGGCAGAATGAAATGTGGGAAGTAGAAGTATGCGTTATATCAGAGATGGATGTGACTAGCCCTTTTGGGTATAGTACGCTTTCACCACCTGATATTGAGTTGAGAAAAACAATTCAGGATTCAAAATGCCAGAGCAAAATCCCAGGGGTTCGAAGGGACAGGTATATAAGACCCTGGTCCGCAGACGAGCAATAGAGAACCGGTCAACCCGGAAGGTTTCCAAGATTTCCAGCTCTATAACCCGACTCTATGACTCTTCGGCCTCAGGCCTTCAGGTATCATGGAGATGAATGTTCTGAAAGGCTGTAGGAGTGCTGAATGTAGAGAAGACTGCAGGTGCAATTTAAATAAGAGAATTTGCTTATTCGAGATGATCATGTAGATGGTTGTTAGAGACAGGTCAATCCTAATCATTCATATCTACCTATCCTATAAATTTCATTGGGGAATAGAACGCCTGTTCAGTGGACAGTGTTGGTCTAAATCATATCACCGATACATCATGCTGTTGACCCGAAATCGACGCCTGAACTCCGTGCTGCAAATGGGGGAAATCATAAAGTTTGAAAAAGATATCAAAGAGAAACCATCATGGATTTCAAGTACATCAGGGCTTCATATCACATTATCATATTATCGGCGTGGTCATTTTGGCACATCAAAAGAAAAGAAAAAAAGAAATGGGGGAATAATCATAAAACGTCCGTCTTGTCTTCGTAATAAATCATGAAAAGAAAAATAAGAAACGGAATTGCAAATCATGAAATTTGCCGAATTGCAAAGAGGCAAACTACTTCATCGACCCGGTCGTAATCAGCATGTCAGCTCGACCAGGTCGATGGAAGCGGTCAACCCCCAGATGCTCCTTGCCATCGCGGCCGACAAAGATGCCGAACCCGTAGGTCGGGAATTCTCGATCCCCGGGCGGTGCAATGACCAGTCGAGTCACCAGATCAGCTTTGCTTCTCGGCTCGCGTAGGAGCTTGTCTGCAAGCAGCGGACTCTGGTAGAGAAAGCTCATCTGATCGGCAAGGGTGCTGATGTCGTGGGGTAGATGGCGACAACGACGCGGCCAGATCGCGAAAAAGGAAATAGTGTACAGTCCGCAAAAGACGATAAGCGCGTAAAAGGCGGGCATCAAGGCTGCGATGCGGATCTCGTCATGGGAGGGGTACCACATCGCCAGGAATACACCCCCAGCAAGAACGGGAATGGCTGCAGAGGCGACGGACATAAATGAGATCCACGCCACCTTGAAGTGCTTGTTCAGCACCGCGAGAATGGTCACCTGGAAAGGCAAACATGAAGGATAGGCGAGCAATAAACTCTGCTCTGCGGAGGCACCTTCTGGGCGGGAGAGGCCGACAAAAGGCTGCAAGGCGCGGAAGTAAACGTCGACAGGTTGCCATGCCAGGAATAAAACATTCCCAATCAAGGCTGGGATAAAGCTGTACAAGAAGTTGGATGAAGAGAACGCGCCGGTGGACGGCAGGGTCGGTAGTCGGGGTGGAAAGCCGCCTTTGATCGCATCATGAATGAAGCTCGCAAGGACAAACGCAATGAAAAGAGCACAGATCGTAACCGTCCATCCCACGACGAAGGCTCCTCGAAGAAACCAGGGGACCCATCGATAGCGAACGGATGGCGTGTACAAATGCTCATCAAACTCCCCTTTTCCAACCATAGTCTGCTGCTCCAAGTCAAATGAGACTTTTGAGACGCCCTGATACTGCCTTGCGCGATTCTTCTCGATCAGATGCAACGAGGGATTCCCAATCGGGGCATCAACTTCGCCGACGCCGTAGAAGACTTCCTCCCGGTGTGGGAGCTGCCAGTACCCTAGCCTGAGCAACCGCGGATCGAGAGTTTCGCCTACATCAGGCACCGTCTCAGACTGTTCAAAATCGCGCAGGACGTTTGATCGCTGGATGATCGAGATCAAATCCGCCAGGCAGACCGGGTCCCACATCAAGCCGGACCAAGTGTTGAGAAAACGGAATGTCAACAACAACAATCCAATAACCAACAGTCCGTATACCGCGATCAGAGTCCAGCCAACGCTCATGACGGAAGTCCATCGCCAGGTCCCTTCACCATCAATCACATACCACTTGGCTTGAAAAAAGCAACTCAGGAGTGGTATCGTGATCATATTTGAGATCCAGATTGCAAGCAAGGCGAATCCAACCAGCGCTTCTCCGTGACGAAAATGCGACAGGTCGGGAAGTAGAAAATTTTGGGGCAAAGTCGACAGCTTCTGTAGGACGTGACCAAGAGGTCTTTCCGATCCCATGATCGCAAATGGCATGGTGCGGTAGAGCGCCGCCTGGATAACGAATGTCCAGATTGTGATGATCGCCGCGAGAATCTGCGGAAGGAATTCCACGACGAAGTATCTTCCCCCTCCCTGGCCGTTGTAGTTCCACAGTCCCTGGTGTTTCTCAGCCCAAACATTGCAAAACGCAATACCGGCGATCATGAGCAGGCAGCAGAAAATTATCGCCGACAAAGCCCATGGCCTCAAAACGCCGGGGACATAATCAAGCGGCGGGTACAGTAGACTGTCCTCCGGAGGGTCTACCGGGGTATATGTTTCTGGATCCACCGAATCCTGCGGTGGTCTGGTGTCTGGCGTGGGTTTGGGCGACGGTTGTTGCGGACTGAGGGACCGTCGCGGACTAAGAGGCTGTCGCGGACTAGAACGTTGTTGTACGGGAGAGGGAGACTTCTCAGGCCCGGACGGGCGCACGAAGCATCCAAGCCCCTCATCCCAGACGAGACGCTCGGCCGGCGGTAGACCCTCACTGGCAACCGAGTCGTGTCGGCTCAAGCCACGAACCTCTTGATCGCGCGTGAGCTGACCGATGGCGAATTGAATGTATGGAGAATCGTCCAGCCCCGGCGTGGGCGGCGGACCGGCGTAGGTATCGCTAGGCACCCGACGACTGGTGCTGTTGGACATGGGACTGGGATGGATAGGTCTGTGTTGAACCTGTTGCATGGCGCTGGAAGCAGGAGAGGGCGCATTCCGGCTCTGGTTGGGAATGCCGACCGACTGATCGGATCGTGAAGCCATTGGCGGGGCGGCTAAATGTGTTCGAGAGATGGCAGGCGACGAAGTACGGGATGCAGGATGAGAATTCGGTGTCGCATACCGTAAAACGGTCGCTCGGCTGTCACCGCTGGGAGATCGCGAGCTTGAAGTACGATCAGAGAAGGAGTAATAGTCGTCGGAAGCGGCGGCGGATTGCTGGGACTCGGTGCGCTGCAGCTGGGGTCTGCTTGCTGCGAGGGGGTTAGAGGGGGAGGGTCCTGGCGTGGAACACAGCGTTGGAAGGGGGAGGGACTGATTCGTCGAAGCATCAGAGCCCAAGACAGACAGGTACTTACAGCTTACGGTTCTCAGGCTGACATTTGCAGAGCCAGGAGCAAGCATGACGGTTGATCGCAACCGAGCAATGAACGTGGAGAGCTGCTCACTTGCAGAAGACGATGTCGGATGAACATTCCCAGGACGCAGGCACCAGAAATTGTGGGAGAGGAATTAGATAAGTGCCTGTCATGTTCGATAGGCCCCTCTCCAGGCTATGCCAGATGAGGCGAGAACTACCCAAGTCTGTCGACCTTGCTGAGGTGGTTGGGATCTCCCAGCCTCCCTCGGCCCAGCCACCGCCAGACGGGAAACCGATGCGAATCGACTAAAATATCACTGATCGCCAACATGGCCCGCAGTGATTGGAGTGACTCGAGACAGGGCATGATGCATGACGGATGGTTGGACAATTAATCGCGGTAGTGTTTTGGGCGCCAAAGTGAGGTGGAAGGAGGGAGTGAGTGTTTGTTGGTTGCGTTGGCATCCTCGACACGGACAGAGTTGCGGCCCGAGGCATCACCGACCATGGATCGGTTGGTGTAGTCTGTACCTGTACTTTGGTTCCTGGATCTAATCCACTTCCACAAAAGAGGAAGAAAACTAGTGTCACTATTAAAGGCTAGATCTATCTATTTTGTGTCATCATCACCGACAAACAAGCATCTATATACTCCTTCCCCCTCACGTATTGTACAGATACGCCGCGATCACTCCGCCCCAGCCACCGGCATTATCGTTCTGCGTCGCAATGACCTGACTGCCCTCGAGCACCATGTTCGTCGTGCTCTTCGAATTAGTCCCGTACAGATATATCCTGGTCGAGTCGATAATTTGAAGCATGTTCTTCTGACAGTCCCCCTTGCAATCCCCGTTGGCATTGAAGAACACCCAGTTGCCGCCCCCGTACAAGAAGAGGTCCGAGGAGCCACTGATGCGTTCAAACAGAGCCATGCGACAGTTCGCATCTTCGGGCGCGCAGTGCGAAAAGTTCGGATCGCTGGGAACGGGGTGATCGGCCCACGGGGCTGGCGCGTAGAGATTGCCCGGGCCTTGCCAGTAGGGCGTCTCACTCTGTTGCAGGGCGGAAAAGACATTGCGCGCCCGTTCAAAGTTGTACTGGTAGAGCGTGTGATGCTCAAAGCCGGTGCCGATCAGCCAAGTGGCGCTGGTGGCTTCGACCAACAGGCCCCGACCCGTGCCGATGTTCTGCGTGTGGTCTCCATCTAGATCGTGGTCCGCGGTCCACCCCCACATGTTCTCGATGTAGGCCGATGAGGTGGTGGAGAGATGAAGAAGGCCAAAAGCGGCCTTGCATTCGCCCGGTGAGGCCGCACAGTCGGTTTGCACTCGACTTCCGACCGCGCCTCCAATTCGGAAATGTGTGTTCCAGAACCCAACATCGCCGGGCTGTTCTCCTGCGATGTTGACTTCGACCTAAGGATCGCGTCCGTGTCAGAATGGTGGGGCTCGTATGGAGAAACAGATAGGGATACATACCATTTTACAGCCGGGCAAGATATCAGCGACGGTGAACATCATGTCGCTGACCTGCGCGATGCCCATATCGCCAGGATATCCGAATCGGACCATCGCACGCGGCGACGCCTCATCTTTAAATAGATTGCCAGTGGCGCTAATCACGCTGGCAAATGCATCGCCGATAATCCGAGTGCCGCCGGGTACGAAGATAGTATCGGCCACGATATACGTGCCAGCCGGGAAATAGATCAGTTGGCATCCACGCTTCTCCGTCAGAATTCGGTTGATGTTCTGGCTATCGTCGGTCGAACCGTCACCGTACACAGGGAGCCCAGGGACAGATTTGATGTTCACGACTTGGTCTGCGCTGTATTCCCTATACGTCGGGGGTGGCATTGTGAAATACTTGCCTCCAGGGGCCAGGTTTGAAGGCCGAGGAGTGGTGACCGAATCCCCATCGGCTCTCCGTTTGTTGGCATTTCCCGGATCGTACTGTTTTGACCAGGTTAGATTTTTTTCATCCTTGAGTCTGTGACATTTGAAACCTACCACCGTTCCATGTACCCAAGTGTCAGCCACAGGACCGGACAGTTTGGCCTCCCCTCCCAAAGTCACCGTAGTACCGGTGTTCTGGATGTTTTCCAGAATGATTGCGTTTCCCGCATTCCCTGAATCGCCTGACACGATGAACGAATTCAAACCGGAGCCCGATGAGTCGATCACCGTCAACGATCCAGACGTACCGCCTGCGTCGATCCCGATATCGCCCTGCTCGAAATGGCAGTCCATGAACACAATATCGGTTCCACCTGCAATAACACCAATCTTGGTTCCAGTAAATCTGAGGCTCTTGAAAACCCATTGCTGGCCACTCAGCTTCATGCCGATGGAACCGCCTTGAAACCACAAATCGTTCTGCGCATGGTTAGCTGTCGTATTCTCGGCACGTTGCCATTGAGTCATACCATAATGAGGTTACTATTGTAGTCATACTGCGTAGTAAGTCCAACGTGGTTTGTGTCCCCGGTCGGCATATTAAACACAACGTTGGCCAATTGCGTCGCCTGACTCACGGTCCAATCGACAAGATTAAACGCCTGGGTTGCCGCGACGGCCGTGGAATCCAATATGATATTCTTGATTCCGATTTGGAAGTTGATCGTGCCGACGTAGCTGGGATCCTTCGCGTAGATCATATGATCGCCTGAGAACTCCGATGCTGCTTTCAGGGTTGGGGGATTGGTCGGATCTCCCACGATGACTGTTCCGACGTAGAATTGCAGTGCAGCGCTCAATAGGTACGTTCCAGGTGGTAGATAAATAATAGCGGGCTGGCCAGTGGTTCCCATGAAGTGGGATCCACGATCGGGTCCGTTCGTTGGTCCGGCTGTACACAAGGTGTTAGAATGTGCCAATGACGTGATAATGGAAATATGGTCAATCATACCCTGGATTGCATTCTGGATCGCCCCCGAGGCATCTGTCGCTCCCGTATTGTCGGCTTTGAAATCCGTCACCACGTTGCGAAACACGGTGTAGTTTTCTTTCGATCCCGATTCCAAAAATGAAGATTGGCCATTGTGCTCGATGTTCGCGTACCAGTAACCAGCTGCCGCACCACCCGAGCTGCACGATTCCCATTCTTGACCGGTCTGAGCATTGTTGTTGACTTGTTGGCCGTTGCCATCCAAGGTTGCGTGAATGTCGGCGGATGTGCTGTTGGCTGCCGGTTGCTCTGATACCGCGGTGGGACTCGGAGTCGTTGAAGGAGAGGGAATGCTGCTACTCGTCGGCTGCTCAGGCGTTACACTGCTGCTGCTGCTGGCTTGCTGTGTTGATACTCCCACCGCGTAGCTGACCGTGCTTGGATATACTGCGGAACTGCTTGTGCTTGGATCTGCGGCGGATGCAATACTGCTGTCCGTCGTCTGCTGCATGGGCACCGTAATGCTGCTTGGACTCGTGGGAGTGGTGGAGGCGAACGAGCTGTCACTGACGCTGGGAAGAATATAGGAGCTGCTACTCGTCGACTCTTCAGGGGCCATGATACTGTACATGCTCGTGCTTGTGATGGGGATATTGCTGTTCGGTCGGTCGGCCACAGCACTCTCGTTTTTCAACGTGAACGGAATACCCCTTCATAAACTAGTCAGTATGAAACCCGATAGATCAAAAATAGAATGAGAGAACCACTCACGTAGGCTTAGGCTTATAATCCAGCGGTGGATAATACGTTGGTGCTACTCCATGATCATTCGATCCCCCGCCCGTGATTGCAGGGCCGACGGAGAGTATGAAATTGACGATAGACGGTATTATCGCCATGATTGAGGCAGGATCTCACAGCTCAATCAAGATACCACAAGACAGTACATCAACTTGACCTGTGCGGGTGCACCTGCAAGACGTCAGTCTTTGAGTAGTGAAGGAAGACGGACAGGGCCCCAGCAAATTTTGTGCGCCAGGCGTCGCGGAAAGGAATGAAAGGGTAAAAAGATTTAGGACGCGAGGATGGCGTTAAGTCCCTGTAGTCTAGACCTGAGCTTGTCATTCCTGATCTGGGTCACTCGGATTGCCCGGGCCTGTTCGTACATACCAGAGCTGGTGTCTAACATGGCAAGCGCAGCCATCACTACCGCGACCCTGTATAGTTAGGAATTCTTCGGGCTCCAGCCTCATTGACTCGTAATAATGGACCATGAAAGCTAAAGCAAGGACCCAAGCCTGTTCTCGATTGGAATAACTACATTAGGATGTTCGAAATCCATTTTCCCTCTTAGACCTACAATGTTCGGAAATGTTTCTCCGGGTACAACAAGCGCAACGATTAAGTATAGTCAGAGATTCATTAAACTGAGGGCAATGATCCAGCATTGCATATTCGTAGAATTTGTCATTCAATCATAATTGAAACTTTCCGATCGAGTATCCAGGACCTCAGGCGAAACTTTCAGGGGTAGAACACGTCGTAGCCCGCATACCACAGCGGAGCCCTAGCAAGGAGCACAACAACAAAGGGGCCTGCCCGGTATTCACGCACCATTTCACGTGTAATGAGACATCTTGATTTCAAATCTTCGCGTCGCCATTAACTCGTCTTTTGCCTTCCTTTTTCACACTTCCCACCGTCATAAAGTCTCGGTGATTATGGCAGTAGCCCCATCCCAGTCTCGATTCCCCATTCGATGTATCACATCACATCACATAAACCGATCCCACGAAACCATATGATCAAAAAAGGAACTGTATCGGACCATCGTCGGATCCCGAAACTCCACTTTGTCGCCCGAGGAATGCGACGAGTCGCCAGTCAGGAATTCCAAGTATGTTGAGGCCCGCTTGTTCCTGCCGTCGCCAGCAGCGCTCGTCGTACCAGCGTCGAGTCCATTACTGAAGAGTCCGTCGACGGCAATTGAGCTCGGTCTGGATTTGCTCGATCGCCTCAGTCCCTCGCCCATGAGCCATGTTTGGCGACGGGATCTTTTAGTTGGTAGGAGGTTGTGTTGCTCTTCGTCGTTGCGGTCTTCGTCGCTGGTGCTGCGGAAGCGGGATTTGGGCTTGAGCCAGGACGATGAGACTTTCCAGAATTCTCGCATGTTGAGGATGGGTGAATGGGTGAATGAGTGAATGGATGGATGGATGAGAGGGAGTATCTTTTATGGTGCGAGAATGATGAGAGAGTATTAGGTGAGACGGTCTCTTTGAGTTGGGGGCTGTCCTTCCCAAATATTTAAATTGATGATCTTCCCGCGCTGATCCCGATTTGTTTCAAAGGGGTGCGGAACGCGATGTATCATTTTGAAACGGGGACTCAAATATTGGACATGGCCACCGTGTGGTACGCGTTAGTTAGCCGAGCTCTGAGGGAGACCAAAAAATGAGAAATGGAACGGTTAAGATTGAAGGACTGTGCTGAGCGATATTTGCATCGCGGTTAAAAGTGGTGTGGTATATTGGAAGGGAGAGAGGGAGAAGGAGGAGAACAGTAGGAATATAGCTAAACTAGATGCTGCAGAAAAGAATTGCATTTCGCTTGTCCCGTTTTACTTCACATTTCCTACAATCGGAAGGAGCGAGGCTCATCTACAAAGAACCGATGATGGTAAAGCTTATTTATTGACTTCTTAAAGACGCCCATACAGAGTCACAGCTAGTCATCCTTCCACACAAAATACCCCCGACTCTCCAGTAGCCAGGCGGATCCAGCTCTGGGAAATCAACCGGCCTGTGTTCAATGTAGGGTCACCCGTCGTAGCCCAGTAACTTCACGGATTTCAAAACGTCCAACATGTTACTGTACATCTTGGCTGGCTGTGGTAAAATCTCGTGAAGAGCTGGGCGACAAGAAACTTTGAGTCATTCTGGTTATGTCATCGGTAGCCTGATGGAGTGTTAAACAACCTCTATGTAGGTAGTCAATCAAGCGGTTGACAGCCCCCCGCCCTCCTGCTATTCTTGATGTTCCCACACCCATGTTCTCTAGCTGTCTTTCCGCATTGAATCGAGCGATTATTTCATCAATTTGATTGTCCGTCAGTACGCGCGACCAAAGTGTGTCTTTGTGTGTGGGTAAGTTTCTCCCGGAGATCGGTTCCAAAAGCCGACGGTGACGGTTAGCTTACCTAGGTACACCATCAACCAGGTCATAGATGTGAGGTTGCCCATCGTTGTGGCTCACAGCCGCCCTGAGCTATCTTTCTCATCAACTCAACCTCCCAAAATGTACGCCAAAATGGCAGATTTGATCAAGGTCGTCAAGGCTGTCCGTGACCAACTGATCACTACGGACGTTAATCAATACGTTTATTCCAAAGATGTGAACCAGAAGGACTTTGAAGAGATCGAGGACGAGGTCAATAGAAAAGATCTGCCTTGTGCCGTCATATTTCAATATGATGCCCAAATCAATCATATAATTATCAAGTGTATACCGAAAATGCACACCTTTCTCTTGGTGGAGGACTCCATTTAAAAGTGGCTGACATGGGTACTACCTTCCACGAACTTACCCCTCTGGGAGCCACAACTTTTGGAGGGCGTACAACCTCCTGCAAGGAGGGCGATTCGACCTTTAAAAACGCGTATCTCCGTGGCCGTGAGAGCGATTGGCCGCATCTCGTTATAGAAACTGGTGTGTCCGAGTCTCTGCGAGAACTCAGACGGGATACTGGGTGGTGGCTATCTAACTCAGAGGGCGAAGTTCTGGTCGTCGTGGTTATCCACATTACCCGAGCGACTAAAACAATTGTGATGGAAACATACATACCGGAATTTCCCAGTCCATGGCTCAAACACACTTCTGTTTTGCCTCGTTTGGTTTCAGAAACTGTTATTGATTTCGGTTCAAAGCCTCCCCGTGTCAAGGGGGGTTCGGTCGTCCTCGAGTTTCATTGAGTGATCGGCAGACAACCTCGCGCTCCCGAGACAGATTTTGAATTCTCACCTGCTTTACTGCTGTATTTGTTCGAATTCGTTTTCCTACGACGCTGATATGGAGCAACTGGTACCCATGAAAGTCTGTTTTACCAGTTCTCGTTGCTTATTGCTTTGTTTCTGTGTCTACATAAGAGCAACTTCTCTGGTCGTGACTTCAAAGAATGACCCTACATTATGCACGGGGCCGGCTGGCTTTCTCAGAACTAGATATCTGTCTAGCTACTAGATGGTTAGGGGTATTTGGTGCGATGGAAGGATAGCTAGCTGTCACTCTGTATAGGCGTCTTTAGGCAGTGAATAATTAATAAGTTTTGCTAGTATGGGCTCTCAATAAATGATCCTGGCTCCTTGCGATTGTAGGAACTAAACACAAGATTCCAGTCATATGTTCAGGCAAAAATATATCATGTTATTTCATTGAAACCCCATTTCCTAGTTAATACATTCTCACTTATGTGAACGCAGACCGTAATTGGAATCCGGGCCCTGACTCCACCTTACATGGTTTATAATACTATCTTCTTTTACCATACTGAACGAAGAGCAATTTTAAAAAACACTAGATTCAAATTTCAAACATTTACTAGGACTATGAATACCCCTAAGACTTAGCTGGTTTCGCCACCAACACAGCCGTTCCGAAACCGATCGAATGAGGACTGTCTTGGAAATGCTGCTCTAGTTCAGGAACAAGCGCCTGTTTGATCTTCTCGTAGTCCGGGTCATCCGTGAACCAAAGTCCAGCTAAGACCTCCGCTGCCCGAGCACAACTTTCGGAATTTTCTTGCTCAGGAAACTTGCAATACGCCTCCACTCGGTGAAGAGATACATCAGCAAAGCCATGCCCTGCGAAGATCTCGGATGCTTTGCGAAGGATGTATCCATGGTGATCGAGGCTTCCATCTCGACCTATGTGGACGAGAGCTTTGTTTAAAAGGTTGAGTACTTTGTTATCTGGGCCTCCTTGGGAGATGATGATTCGCGATTTGTGGTTCGAAGGGTTGACCACTCGGGCGATTTCATGCAGTGATTTCTCGAGGTCATCGGCATACTGTAGACTCCATGTGGTGACCACAGCGTCGAATTGGTGATGTGGGAAGGGAAGACTCTCCAGAGTGCCCTGCGCAAGCTCGACCCCGTCTTCATGCGCTTTTCCCACGGCTTTCGGGTTGGTTTCCGGATAGATGGCGTACACCTTGCTGCCTCGTTTGGCGAGTTCATGGCATAGTGATGCTGTTGCATGTCCATATTAGCTAGTCGATTAGGATAGAGTAGATTACATACCTTTGCGCCATATACTCGTATCCAGGACCTTCTGGTTGTTTTCCAGGAGGCTGATGATATCTTCGGTTTCATCGAAAACCAGTCTGTCAGTCAATGGCAACACAGCAGCCGCATTGAACTTTCGAGGACCTCGATAACTTGACGGAAGAGGGTAGGGCCCAAAGAGCGTTTCTTTTTCAGTCTTCCGAGCAACAACCAGATAATGCTCTTCCTCCAGATGATCTTTAGTACCAGCCCAGGGGGAATAGACCTCAGTCTCGAAGGTTAGACCCGCCTTCTCGAACATATCCATCCAGCCCTTGCGGGTATAAAAAGTGCAACTGTACATCTCATTCATCCAGGGTTGGGGGTAGTGGCGCACGCATTCCCCAGAGGCATCATAGAGCTTCGGGTCCTTGAAGTAGTAGTCGGCGAGAATAGTGGCTACCATCAAGAGACCGCCGGGCTTCAGCCATTCCGCAAACCGGTAGATCATCGACTCTGTTTCATCGCATGTGATGTGGAACAGGGAGAAACTACCGAGTACAACGTCGAACGTGGTCTGGGGCTTGAAGTCAGTCATCTTGCATTGCTGGAAAGTTCCTTTGACTTGACTCCTGGCGATCTCGAGCATGGTCTCCGAGATGTCGATCCCGTGGACTTCATGGCCTGCCTGGGCGAAAGTATGGGCCATGGGTTTACCGGTGCCGCTGCCCACATCGAGAATTTTGCTGTGAGGGGGTATTCTTTGAAGGATAATGTCGAGGATCTTGGCTTGCCCGGGGTTACCGAGATAGCTTTCTTCATACGACTTTCCCAATTGGTTATAGAGGGCTTCGGTATCTTCTTTCATGATGGCGGTGTCTTAGATGATGGATGAATTCGAGACTGGCAAATTTGAGAGCTTCCTAACTATTGTGATAGACCTTATAAAGACAGTATCAATAAAGGGCGAGAAGATGGAGCAAATAAGAAGGACTCCTAGAAATAGCTGGGCTGATATATAAAGTGCTGCGTCGGTCGATCCCCGCAGTTACCTAATCAGTGCAGATCTCATGCTCAGACAACACATGCATGAAGACACATGCAAAAAGGTGACACTGGCCAACCTATACTACTGCACTCAGCCGAATTGGACAATGTCCAGGTTTTCTGCTGTTTTTAGCACGCAGGACTTTGCACAATTTTGTTTGTTTTGAGAAGCAGAGAGAAAAAAAGTGGGTAGGCGGGGCGGGGGATGGCGGCAGATTGCTGCCTATACCAACGACCAACAAAACAAATTACCCCGACCGTTGCATTCTTTCTTCCTTCCTTAATCCCATAGACACCATCTAAATACCCCCTCAATCAAGCCATGTCGTCATATACTATCGCTAGCGGTGACACCCTGTGGAAGATCGCCACCGACCACGGCATCTCGCTGCAGGCCTTGACAGCAGCCAACCCGCAGATCACGAATCCCGATCTGATCCATCCGGGACAGGAACTCAATATCCCCCAGAACTCAGCCCCTCCGCCGCCTCAGAATGTTCCAGCCCCGGTGCCAGAGCCTAGTGCCGCCCGTGAAATGACCGGCGGTGGGGGGTTTTCAGGGTCGAGCGTACCTCCACCTTCCATGCCTCCGCCTAATATGCCTCCACCTCCCCCGCTGGTGACACCGGCCGAATCCTGGAATACTGGCCGGCCATCATTCAAGACCGTTGCCTATTTTACAAATTGGGTATGTCATTTGTGCTACTATACCTTAATTTTGATTAAGTCGTTGTCATCGAAATCACAAACTAATAACCAACGACCAGGGTGTTTACGGTCGCAATTATCAGCCCCAGGACATCCCCGCCAACTTCATCACCCACATTCTCTGTATGAGTCACCCACTCCAATTGAGAACAGTAACTAATCAATCTCAGATTCCTTCGCCAACATTCGTCCTACAGGCGAAGTGTAAGTTCCAGTCTATTCATTTATGCCTACCACGCCCACTAACCAACCCCGAAAAGCTTCTTAACGGACACCTACTCCGACCTGGAAAAGCACTACCCCACTGATTCGTGGGACGAAAGCGGCGAAAATGTCTACGGGTGCATCAAGCAGCTCTTCCTTCTCAAGAAGCAACACCGCCACTTAAAAACTCTCCTCTCCATCGGCGGCTGGACCTACAGTTCCAACTTCGCCGGCCCCGCCTCCACTCCCGAAGGCCGACAAACCTTCGCGCGCTCCGCCGTCCACCTCCTCGCCGACCTCGGCTTCGACGGCATTGACATCGACTGGGAGTACCCGCAGGATGACGCCGAAGCGTACAACTTCGTGCTCCTTTTGCAGGAAACGCGCGCCGAACTCGACCGCTACTCCGCCTACTACCTGCAGGGGAAGCGGCTCCTCCTGACCATCGCGGCGCCGTGCGGTCCATCCAAATTCAACGTTCTCCGCATCCGCGAGATGGACCCGTTCCTCGACTTTTGGAACCTCATGTGCTACGACTTCGCGGGCAGCTGGGACTCCACCGCTGGTCATCAGGCTAACGTGTTCCCGCACCCGCAGCCGGGCCTGACGCCCTTCAGCGCCGACGCCGCCGTGGTTGCGTACCTGCAAGGCGGTGTGCATCCGAGCAAGATCATTTTCGGGCTACCGCTGTATGGTCGGGCATTTGAGAACACGGGCGGTCCGGGTCGCCAGTTCCAGGGCGTCGGAGAAGGATCGTGGGAGAACGGCGTGTGGGATTACAAGGCCCTCCCCGCCGAGGGGTCCGTCGAGTATACAGACCCGAACCTGATGGCTAGTTGGAGTTTTGATCCCGCGAAGGGTAAGGTGGTGAGTTATGACACTCCCGAAGTGACTTGGTTGAAGGCGGAGTATATCCAGCGTAGGGGCCTGGGTGGTGCGATGTGGTGGGAGCTTAGTGGTGATCATCCGGTGCATCATGAGAGAAGCTTGATTAGGATTACTGGGAATGCGTTTGCTAGGATGGGAGGGTTGGATGGGAGTGAGAATACGCTGATGTATCCGGGTAGTCGGTATGAGAATTTGCGGAGGGGGTTTGAATAGATTCTGAGATCTATCTGTGTGACATCTAAGGATCCATATGATAGATAGGGTAGATACAAAATCACCACTTGGATAGCACTTATAATACATCTTATGCTTCAATAACACGTCCCTGTTTAAGTACCAAGAAGATATTCCAAATAGCAATATATTGAACCCACACATCAATCTGAATTCACATTAGACCTAGGTATAGATCTAAACCGACAAGTAGCTCAACAATCGTACCCCAATTCATGAATCTCATTCAATAGATAATGATCATATGTAAAACAACCTTCCAAAATCCTACCTGTTCATCCACCAGAAAAAGCCCGTATATATACTGTACAACTCTACCAAAACTTCAAACTCGTTGACCTCATCGCCAACTTGGTGTTCACCATGCAAACCACAGTATCCATTTACCTCCTTCATCAAAAAAGGAAGAGAGAGTGTGTGTGTGAGAGAGAGAGAGAAATGGGTGAATGTAAAAAATAAAAATAAAAGAAATGTACCACCCGCTCTAGGATTCGACTGGATCTCCGTAACAATACGGTTAAGAATAGTGAGGTGTGCTACCATTGCACAAAGCGGGCTAGTTTACATAGTGGAGAACAACCAGGAGGTATCTGCCTGTTATTGGTGAGTCTGCCTGAGGCCTTGCCCATCTAGTTAGGTACCTTCCGAGCAGGTAAGAGAACATGCTCCAATATAGTTACTCCTACAAATTGATTGGCTTCATATTTTCGGTTCCCATCCTTCACCAGATCAAGCCGATTTCTGACGTCGAGTTTCACGACATCGCTCACATTGACTTCCCCGAAATTCCCAGCGTCTAACGTCCGTCCTCCACTTGGTCATGATTGTTTCGTGATTTAACATATCTTTACCTGGCGGCGTTACGAATCCCCTTTCAAGACTACACAAAAAAAAAGTGCTCTACTTCTCCCGCAAGCAAAAGCTAATAAAAAAAGATGTTCTCTCTATCTAAGCCTCTTCGTTTGCTGTCTATCCTGTTCCCCAAACAGCTCCCACCATCCGTCTCACTCAGGTCATTCTCGCAATCAAGCATACCAAACCGGTCATAAAAAGCTACATATTCCCAGCCCTGTAAGCACTCAACAAAGAAATCAAGACGATCGGCACCACTGTTCTTAATGAAACCGGCCTAGACCCTGGTATCGACCACCTCTATGCCGTGAAACCAATCGACGAGGTCCAGGATCACCTACGCTGCATTTCGTCCGGAGTACATACGTCTGCCAACATCGAAGGATTCGAGTCCCCATCCTAACTACCCTATCCGCGCGAAAGACAGGATTGAAAACGTTGCATACCCCGCAGCGTAGATTGCATTTCGCCATTCCTACCTTTTCTGATTGTTATCAGCTTTTTGACTAATCAAAGGGTGGGCGTTTAGATATTTCGAGTTTGAGACAAGGTCTTGGAGTGGTTTTTATATGTAGAGAATTTATTTTTTGTATGCATAAATTTATATAAATATTTACATTAGCTATGTGAAATCGTCTGGACGGCGTATCTGAAGAAATAAAAGAAAGGAAAAGGAGTATTTACAGCGAGTGGCAAAGGAGTAAGGATATCTGAAGTAAACAATCATTTCAAAACAAAACAAACAGGGAAATAGAAACAAAAGAAAAAAAATATTAAGAACCGGGGGAAGCCAAAAGCCAGGAATGTGATAAAACGTTCGTCGTCTTTCTAACCCAAAACGCCAATGTTGATTCTCCTCTTCCGTTTCTTGGAGACTATTCTCATGTAGACCTTACATCTTCACGAGTACTCGACGCATCGGGATGTTTGACGAGATTAATCGTGTCCAGCTCATTGAAATTATCTGAGTTCGGCTGCTGGTGTCGTCCCGATCGGCCGGTGTGGCCGGAGTAGTCGTACGTGGGGTAGGATTTGGAGCCGTAGCTGATGGGGGTCCCTCTGATGAGGAGCCAGATAGGGCGGAGGGTGGGGAGACAGGCGAGGATGACTCCGAGGGACATTTCGATGTTGGTCCAGAGGAAGACGGGGGAGGTGTAATCTGTTTCTTCTGTTAGTTCTTGTTAATAGCTACAGGGAGTGAGCAGGGACGTACAAGTCGCATCTAAGTAGTGGTCTAGGAAGGTTTGGCCGATGTGGATATACATAGCGAGACGGGTGATGCTGATTGCGACAACACTGGATTTTAATCAGCATTCGATGAAAAATATCCGAGATCAAAGGAGGGATTTGGAACGTACGTAGTGCCCATAACAAACATGCCTGCGACAGCCAACTTCTGCTTCCACGGTAACTGCAACTTCAGGACCAGCGGCAGGGGCAGGATAAGGATGATGATGTCGACAAAGACATCGGTAACACATGATGAATACCACATGGCCACGCTATTGATGCACTTGTTTCCGTAGAACGCCTCGACGAGCGGCGTGATCGGATAGCACGTGAAAAGATTTGCGAAGAAGAAAGAGATCGTCCATGCGAACACCACCACCAACATGACCATCGATGTAGGTTGGAACCATCCCGAGATAGCGAAAATGCTGCGAAATAGAACAAGGAGCGATGCTTTGGTGAAGCCTAGCCCGATGACTGCAAGCATCTGACTGGCGAATTTGCACTGCGCGAGGAGATGTCCGTCAGCGTCTAGTTTTTGCTTGCGATCTGTCTTCTCTTTCTCCTGGTTGGTCTCAACGCACCTTCTCGTATGTCAGGAACCGCGGGTCGTCTAGAATCGGTTGACCGTCTGGGCCGAGGGTTTGATGCTGTCCGAGCTGTCCATGAATCGCGCCTATAAGGAATCTCCGTCAGCGCAAGATC